CTTCCAAATCGATTCAATCTTATTTTGTTATTTTTATGTCAAAGAAAAGATTTATGTTAGAAGATTGTTATAGAAGTACATTGTGAAATTTTGTAATTTTAAGAATTATCTTTTATTTCATAATGAGTTCATTAATATTGAAATTATAAAAGAAAGAGCAAGTATATTAATTTTTGAAACTTTTCTTAAATAATTCTCTTGTTAAAGTACAAAGCAAATGAATATTTTAATTTAAAGAACCTCTTTGTTATTTATGATTAATATATATATATCTTATATAATGAAAAAAAGATATGATTTTCTGCTTGTATTTAGGATCATCTTGGGGATTAAGCTATGGCGGTGCAGTCGTGGTTGAATAATATAGTCTTGATTATAGATTTCTTTATTGAGCGCGCGCTGAGGAATGAATTACATATGAAAAACATAATTGATTAAAGTAATGCCTGTCTTAAGGCGTATAAATAAATATAACAAAAGATTATCTACATAATTACAAAAACCTTGAGTCGACCAACGGGGAAGAACAACAATCAGTTTATATAGTAGAAGCGTGACCTCTGGCGGTCGATTAAAACAGAGTATTTATATCAATGAAATTATAACTTTAAATAAAACAACATTTTAACATATAACATTATTAAATAAAATATTTCAATATAACATTTCAAATAATATATTAATATAACATTTCCCCCCTGTGAAGAAAATAATATGGGTTCATTCAGAGAAAAGTGATAAAAAAAATATATTGTTAAAAAAAAAAGATAAAATGATTGATGGAAAGAAAATAATGTGAGAGGTGATATTCACTTATCATATTGGTTTTAAATATGGTAACCAATAGACAGGAACGTACAAAATTATATAAATGATAAAAATGAATAATAACAAAACAATTGGGAGCAAGTGAAAATAAAAATGTGATAATCCATAATCATATTGGTTTATTGTTAACCAATAGATTGGAAATTACAAAGTGTGAATGATGATAACAAAAATATGGTTGAGAGTAAAAAGGTGATATTCCACAATCATATTGGTTTGTTATTAACCAATAGATTGGAAACAGACAAGAAAAAATGATACACATATATAATATTAAAAATGAGGAAGGAAAAATAAAATGCATGAATTATTAAAATGTACATGAATGAAAAATATTAATATGATAGCATTGAAAAAACATTGGATGATCATAAGAAAGAAAGGCATTTATGAGAAAAGGCAACAAAAGGCAAGGGCAATATGTAAAAAAAGACAAAATGCAAAAACAAGGAATGAACATGTAAAGATTAAAAAAGGTAATGGTAAGAATAGTGAATGGGCATAAAAAAAAAAGAATCAAGGTGGATAATTATAAGAGGTAAAATTTACATAGTTGGTCTCGCCAAATTTACATATTTGTTAGGCGAAAATGAGAAACATTAAAATACTATGGCATTTAAAAAGAAATTTAAAAGGGGTAAAAATGCAAATTTTGTAAATAAAACATTTTTTATGAGATTAAATAAGAAAATAACATATCAAAATTTAGGGAATTTTAAATACAAGGTAGAAATGTGAAGCAATAAGGTATTGAGGTCATTAACGAAAATATATAATTGAAATATGATTAACAAAGATTAATTTTTATTAAAGATTGAACATGTGAGAAATATTATTCTGTTGTTGTGTTCCCGGCCGACTGCTTTACATATGACGTATTAACAACTGATATGGTGTAAATGGTTTAAATTAATTTTAAATGTTTTAAAAGTAATTATTCAATGGAGAAGATATATTAGCAGATTTACATATATTCAAGTTTACAATGTAAAACCATAACACGATATAAAAGTAATTTTTAGTGAAAATGAGCAAAATTATTTGCACAAATTTAAATTTAAAGATAAAAAATGGCATGAGGTATATTATGGCATTTAGGAGCTAACTATACAAAGGAAAACTAAGAATTAAAGGGTGTGAGGTATTAAAATGGCAAAAAGAGCTATGGAAAAATTGATATATAAAAATAATATGACAAAAAGGATATATCTAAGCAAATATGCGATTGAAAACTATTGTACATAATGGGTGATAACAAAGTTAAAATGAGGAAAACTACGAAAGATGGCGGATACAAAGTACCTTGGGTTGGATGATGCTGGCTAGATTTGAAGATCTGGGGAGATGGCCGGTGTTGGGCGGAAGGTGTGATGGCCGGAGTTGGCTGTAGATGGAGATGACTTGTTGAAGGCTATTGTTGAATGTAGAAGATTATTGTCGATTGTAGAGAACTATGGTTGAAATGGACTATGTTTGCTTGAATTGGGCTATTGTTGATTGTAGAAAATTTGCATATTAGAATTTGAAAATTTTGCTTTTGTCATTTTGAAACAAACAGGTAAAAATCCTGTCGACTAATATTATAATATAAAAAAAAGATATGATTTTCTGCTTGTATTTAGGATCATCTTGGGGATTAAGCTATGGCGGTGCAGTCGTGGTTGAATAATATAGTCTTGATTATAGATTTCTTTATTGAGCGCGCGCTGAGGAATGAATTACATATGAAAAACATAATTGATTAAAGTAATGCCTTTCTTAAGGCGTATAAATAAATATAACAAAAGATTATCTACATAATTACAAAAACCTTGAGTCGACCAACGGGGAAGAACAACAATCAGTTTATATAGTAGAAGCGTGACCTCTGGCGGTCGATTAAAACAGAGTATTTATATCAATGAAATTATAACTTTAAATAAAACAACATTTTAACATATAACATTATTAAATAAAATATTTCAATATAACATTTCAAATAATATATTAATATAACATATATATATATTATTTTAATACACACACCTTATTAATATTAGAACTTCTATAATGAATATTTTCAAATAATTCGATATTTTCTATGGTTCCAAACAAATAACCATTATATCAATATAAAACTAAATAATTTAGAAATTATGATACATTAGCGCGCCATCTGTTTCCAAAATTCGAAACTATTTTAGACACTTATGATTATTTTTGAAATTAAACAATTTCTACTGAGGAGAGATTAATTGGAAAGCGTGGCTCATCAGTGGGGAACCCTCCCAGGGGTTTGGTCAGTTTAATCATGTGGGGTCCCGAGGGACATTCTTATAGACGACCCCCCTGTAAACAGGACAGTTTTTGGCAGGGGGTCAGCAGATGTTCTAGAGGTGTGGCCATCGACAGACGGCTGCTGTTTTTTTACACACAGTCTCTCCCTCCATGTCTCGGGGATAAGCATCCAAGTTTGTGTCATGGCCTCTACCTCTGTCCCGTGGGCTGTTCCCGATCATTCTCGGTGTTAACATCTAGCCCTGCCTCTGCTTCTTGTTGTCCGCGTGTGGGAAGAACATCAACACTCGCCTCACGTACACGACTGCCAGTTTATCCATACATCGACATTTGCAACAATATTACACATATATATATAATCCATATATCTTCTTCAAAGATACTGAACTATATACATAGCGATTTTTATACCAACATTTTCGTTATTTTTTATTTCATGTATCACACCTATTTTTATTCTTTATATTATATTAATAGGTGTATTTATCTTTTTATTTATTCAATTTTCAAATTGTAGATTCTTTAATTAAAATTTTAATTTTATATTTATCATCATCAAATTGTTTTGTTTATAATTTTTACAAGCAAAAGGCTTTCAAAAGTCAATATAATGTTTATCTCTCTACTCTCTCTCAATCATATTTCAGTTATCTAATTTCAGTATCATCACACACATATCCATATAGAAAATAAACTACCAGAGTTTTTAAGTATAATATTTCAAGCAATATTCTCCATAGATTTTGAACTATACTTAGCAATCTATATACCACATTTCCGGTATTCATGTGTATTAGTAGTTATATATATATTGCATTTATTCAATTTTCCCTTTTTTTTTTGCTTCATATTTAACTTTTCATATTCAATTATCACCAGAATGTTTTAAAATTAAGTGCGTTTGTATTATTACTTTTTATTAATACAAGGTGGGAACAATAAATAAGGTGAATTATAATTTATTTAAAAAATAAGAACAATATTAAAAATTAAGACTTGATTTATTCAAAATAATCACCTTGGCTTTCTATATACATCGTCTCCATCGTTCTGGCAACTTGTAAATACCCTCTTTATAGGCACTCTTAGGAAGCGTGTGAAAAAAATCTTGCACCACTTTCTGGACATCTTCATCCGAGTCAAATCGCTTTCCCTTTAACTTCTTCTTTAGTAGTCCAAAAAGGAAATAGTCAGAGGGGGCTAGGTCTGGACTATGCAGGATGTTCTAAAACTTCAAAACCTAATGTAATGATTTTAGATACAGTTTTACATGATGTATGCGGCCTTTGAAACCCGAATACGGTAAGGTTTTGGTCCAAATTAAAGAAATGTGGAATTCGTTCATTTTTGAACTCGTTAACCCATTTATAAATGTTTTTTTGAGACAAACAAGACACACCATAGATATTTTTCATTCTTTGGCATATTTGAGATGTTTGAATACCTTCTGCATTCAAGAAACGGATAACTGCTCGTTGTTCAAGCGTGATGCAATCCTTCAAGGGAGCTGGGAAAAAAGAACAGAACACCTTAAATAGTGTCTCTCAATGTTATGTTTTAATATTCTGTGGTTTAAATTATTTTTGCTTTTTTAATTTTTAAGAAATAAGATAATTCACCTTATTTATTGATCCTCCCTTGTATCTATTGTTAGCTATTTCGTCTTTCTAATTCAATTTTTAATTACTCTCCTAATTCTATATAGAAATACATTATAAAGGACTGCGGCGTGTGATTATAAACAATACTTAAAATTATACCGCATAAGTTTCTTATCTACGAAAAATCAATATTTATTTTAAAGAGAAATATTTACTATTTCTAACTTTTTTTTTTGAATGAAGTATGAGAGGGTGAAAATATGAAGAGTAATGGCGAACGGGAAAAATAAAAGTGTCCAGGGGCGGGAATAGAACCCACAACCTTCTGCTTACCGGGCAGGTGCCATGTCCACTAGGCTACCCTGGACGTTATTTCTCCGTTCGTAAATAATACTTAAAGTAACTTATAATACATTATAAAGGACTGCGGCGTGTGATTATAAACAATACTTAAAATTATACCGCATAAGTTTCTTTTCTATGAAAAATCAATATTTATTTTAAAGAGAAATATTTACTATTTCTAACTTTTTTTTTTTTTTTTGTAAATACCCTTTCCGGTAAGCAGAAGGTTGTGGGTTCGATTCCCGCCCCTGGACACTATTATTTTTCCCGTTCGCCATTACTCTTCATATTTTCACCCTCTCATACTTCATTCAAAAAAAAAGTTAGAAATAGTAAATATTTCTCTTTAAAATAAATATTGATTTTTCGTAGAAAAGAAACTTATGCGGTATAATTTTAAGTATTGTCTATATAGAAATGTTCTATGGAGATCTATTTGATGCAGAGGATTCATCCGTTTAAAGTGAAAACATCAGGATTCAAGGAATAAGTTTACTTTACTATAAATATTATAGCAAATAATATGCAACTCTCATTAGACTATTCTATTTTTCTTGAAACGTATGAATCGTATAAATTTTCGAACAATTAGAAATAAAAATATGATTTTATTTGATATAATCTAGAAAGATCAATTATTTTGTTGAAAAATATATTTGTTCACTAAACCTGTTACATAATTATTTGAAAATTCCTTATTTATTTAAAAATCAAATTAGGTTTTAAATTTATATTTTAAAATTAACTTTATAGAGAAAATAGGATTGTAGAAATAATATATACAGGGTTGCCTATAAGTCCCGAAAAAAAATATTTTTAATTAAAAATCACCTAAAATAAAATAGTTTTAGTTTTTTTTAATTCTATTTTGCCTTTTAATTTTTAAATTGAAAAATAAAAGGGTTCGAGAATTATGAGCTACCCTGTATGTTATATATAATAATTATGAAAGAAAAAATGAGAAAAGTAAGGTATAAAAAAAGCAGAAGATATATTTTGTCGGTGTAGAGAGGCACTAGACTCAATCCAAGCGAGGTTATCGCGTAGGCCCAGATCGGAGTAAAACGCTCCTATCTGGAAGTAACGGGCATCTGGGGATACGTAGTTATCTGAGGTGTCCACATCCCATTATTGTGTCTTGATGTGTGCAATGTCAAATGAAGGCCTAAATATATATCTGAGAGGAGCCTAATTATCAAGCACACAATCATTAATTAGGTCAATTAACGATGATTACGTTAAGTTATGTAGATAGATGCTTCCAAATTCCTTCTATCTCTCTCTCTCTCTTAAACAACATTTCTACCCATATTACACATTATTTATTAACCTCAATATATATTCTATATATATGTATATTCCTCGATTATTTTATATATTCATATCTATTTATTCATATATTTATTCGTATTTATTTAATTTTGTATTTAATCTTATATAGACGTTGTAATAAATCAGTTTCAATCTCAATCTCTCCTATCTCTCTTAAACAACATTCCTATCCCTATCATACATTATTTATAAACCTTATTATATGCTAATTAAAATACGATATAATGCGATAATTATTATAGAACGACGTTTAACAAGTTTTACCTCAAAAATTGCATATATATTTGCATATTATATTCAATACTACCTACACCTTTCTCTGCTTAGTTATAATATAATACTCTCCAATTATTTATTCTAAAAAAGCTCCAAAAATATTTAAAGAATATTGTTTTTATTTGAATTATTATATTTTAAAATTAATTTAACAGTTTCCATTTTTAAATAAAATAAATTCCATTTATTTTGATTCTTATATCATTATAAAATATTTATATTCTATGATATATTTGTATTTTTAATAAAATTGGCATATATCTGACCAAAATATAATTTATTTTATCAATATTATAGTTGACTGAACGCCAACCTTTATCAAGGTATTATAACATTTTAATGTGTGTCAACAACAGGCCCGAACGCCACATAACATCAATAGAATATTTGTGTTTATGTGTGTTTCTATTTTATATTCATTTTGATTAATACATTTTAATTTTTATTAATATCAAATAAAACCGTTAAATTAATTTTATAAATAATATAAACTCAAATAAAAATATAATATGCAATATATAATTTCTTTGACCTTTTTTTCAGAATAGTTAATTAAAGTGTAGTATTTAATAACTAAGCAGAATATGTGTAGTTATTCATAATATATTATGCAAATATATGAGATCTAATTATAAGGTAAATTGTATTAGATATTATGAAATTAATTTAAATATAATTTAGATAATATAGGTTATAAATATTTATAGGTGTGTAACCTTATTTGAATATAGAAAAATCAACTTAGAATCCACTACCTTTTTTAGAGAAAGGCTACCTTCCTGCCGAAAAGAAATAGCGCTTAGTTTCAGTATATATATATGTTATAAAAAATGTGTGTGAGATTTTGTGCTGATTTTGGAATATACAGAATTATTAGCTGTTGCTTGATTATTTTGAGAATAGAGAATATTGTCGAGCATTTGCTTGATCTTGAAATCAATGAGTATGTAATATTTTTCTGCAGTCCTGGTAATAATTAAATAATATTAATAAAAATATCTATCAAAAATAGCTTTAATTGAGCTGAAGGAATATATAAGATTTTTCAAATAATTACAAAGGTTTTAGCCGGCCATCAGGAAACAACAACAATAGAGTTTATAGTGAAAACTGCGACCTCTGAGGGTCGTTTTAACATAATCATTTAATCTATGAAATATATTTGAAAAACATTTTAATATATATATATATATATATATATATATATATAATGATGGCCTACTTAAAGTGAATAGTGTAAGAAAAACACGATTTTTCAGCTACGTATGTGAATATTGTAGAAATATTTTGAAAAGGTTTCATTTTATTCGCCATTTTTCTTTGCTTTTTAAATTGATTTCTTGTGTCATTTGTGCTTGCGTGCGCTCTGGAATAAGGATCATTATTATTATTTAAAATGTGAAGACCACAGGAGGCCGAGACTGCCATTACCGATTGTTGGTTAAAAATAGGACCATGTTGAAACTGTTGGTGGTGGATCCCAATAATTACTTCTCTTCTAAAATATAAATCTTCTTTATTGAAGTTACAAACATAAGAAACATAATTTACTAAATATATCTAAGTAAACATTACTAATAAAATAACATCCCTCTCTAACCACGCACATCTCTATTAACTCTAACCTATATATATTCTTGGCACCACAGATTATTACAATCATAGAATAAAAATAATATTTGACAATAACATCCAACAGTAACTTGGAAATCAGACGGGAAAAAAATATCTCAATCTAGGGATCGGCAAACTTTTGAGTTGGAAGAGTCAAAAACTACATATTACAAAATTTCAATGTTTTTTAAAAAGCCACAAAATATTTCTGGCCAACAATAAATAGTACTCGTATAAATAATATTTACGTATGGAACTATATAAAGAGACGCAGCTTCACATCCAAAGAACCACATGTGGCTCGCGGATGTACATTCAGGAGTACATTCAAATAATAAAGGAATTGGAATATTGTTCCCCTCGTAAATAGATAAAGTACATATAAATATGATGATCCTTCTCTTAGAAAAGGTTGATGAATGTGCTGTTCGCGTTTACTACCGAGCGAAAACCTTATGCGCTACGGCACAGCGATATAAAAACTTGACTTGTTCTGTGGACTTGAATGAAATGAACTCCACGCAAATAGAAGGAACCTTTGAATATTTAATTCTCTTTGATTTAGCTACATGAATTTATGATTGATTTAAACTAGAGTGATTGACTAGACTGACTTAAAAACAAGACAACAACAACTAGAAATAACTAAGCAACACAAAAATATATATACAACAGTGTTGCCGAATCAATAAAATATGTACACAGATTAAATCAAAATAAAACAAAGAATTATGCAAAACAATGACCAACAATTTCTATTAAATGAAAAATAAGAAAATATATAATATTTAACCAAACATACTCCCCCCCGTTGGACAGCCAAGTCCAACAAGAATAGAATTCATTCCCTGAATGGCAGAGGAGCTATCTTGGTGATAGGACGCTTGAGTACATTCTTTGGAGTTTTAAGGTCTACGACTCGCACGTGTCCGTCTGGTCCTTTATAGGTCTTGATGATTCGCGCCAGAGGCCAATGATGAGGAGGTGTGGAGTCTTGTTTCATTAGTACAAGCTGTCCAGATTGTAGATCTTGATGAGTCCTATGCCACCTTGGACGTGCTTGTAGCAGATTAAGATAGTCTTGAGACCATTTTTTCCAAAAAACTAATCTTCATTGATTGGATACATTTCCAACGGGAAATGTGATTTAAATCATCCACAACTTCATCTGGAATAGCTAGAATAGGGGAACCAATCAAAAAATGTGAAGGAGTTAGTGCTTCATAAGAATCAAAGTTGGAATCAAGGGGGAGAAGTGGTCTCGAATTTAGAATTGCTTCTATCTGAGTAAGCAATGTATAAAATTCTTCAAAGTTAAGAATGGCCGACTTCGTTACTTTGATTAAATGACTTTTAACAGACTTAATACCTACCTCCCAAAGTCCACCAAAATGGGGAGCGGAGGGAGGAATAAAATGCCACCTAATCCCTTTTTGAGCACAGAAATTTTGAATATCCAACTCCCTGTAAAAATCCAACAAAACTCTATTGGCCAATTTGAAATTTGTAGCATTATCACTGAAAATATCTGAAGGCAAGCCGCGTCTCGAGGTAAATCTCCTAAGAGTAGCTATAAATGCTTCTGCAGTGAGATCAGAAACCACCTCAAGATGTATTGCCTTGGTGGTAAAACAAATGAATAAAACAATATAAGTCTTAAGCAGTATTTTTGATCTTTTTAACATTGGCTTAGTAATGATAGGGCCCGCCAAATCTACACCGACTCGTTGGAAAGGCCGGGATGGCACCACCCTTTCGAGTGGCAATTCACCCATAATTTGAGTCATGGTCTTGGATCGA